GAGACAGAGTCTCACTTTTGTTGTCCAGGCTAGAGTGAGTGCGTGGCGTCAGCCTAGCTCACAGCACCTCAAACTCCTGGGCTCAAGTGATCCTCCTGTCTCAGCCTCCCGAGTAGCTGGACTACAGGCATGCGCCACCATGCCCGGCTAGTTTTTTGTATATATATTTTAGTTGGTCAATTAATTTCTTTCTATTTTTAGTAGAGACGGGGTCTCGCTCAGGCTGGTTTCGAACTCCTGACCCGAGCAATCCGCCCGCCTCGCCTCCCGAGTGCTAGGATTACAGGCGTGAGCCACCGCGCCCGGCCCTCTTTGTACTTTTTAATTTTTATTTATATTATAAAGACAGGGTCTCACTCTCTTGCTCAGGCTGGTCTTGAACTACTGAGTTCAAGCAATCCTCCTGCATCAGCCTCCCAGAGGGCTAGGATTACAGGCGGTGAGCCACCATCTGCGCCCTGAACTCTTTCTAGACTACCTACCACACTAAATTTCTTTTTGAGGGCGTGTGTTATTTGCATTTGAATAGTAAATGCCCCTGTGTGCTGGTTTTAAAGTGGCCATTACAGGAATCAGCCACTGGGTGGCACAGTTTATTCTTGTCGACTACTCTGGCCAACCACAGCTTTAGCAAAAGTAGTGCTCCTCAGTTGTAAATTGGAGTGGAAGGCGCCAGAATAAATACCCAGGGCGCTTGTGTCTCATTATCTCTTCCCCCTTCCCCTCAACCCCCACCCCTCCAGTACAAATCCCACCCCCTGCAAGACTCCCTATGCTGAAGGTGCATAGGTTGGGGCCAGCACTAAGATAGCCTAAGTAGGGCTGGGAGTGGACCCCATCCCCAAGAGATGGCGAGACCAGGTGACTCTTCTCCTCCACCCAGAGGTCAGCCCTTTTGGGTTTTTCCTGGTCTGGTTAGCCATCGAGACTGTGGCCTCATCCCAGATGGGACAGGCACCATAGGCCTCTAATGGGGAGGGCTCCTTTGCTGAGCCCATCCTCCCCACGTCCCTCAAGCCCAGGAGGGTCCAGGCCTTGGGACCCAGCTGTCCCTGGTGTGGTGTAGGGCGACCTAAGGCCAGCTCAGGTCACCGGAGCCTGATGGTGCGACATAGACATTTCTGCAAAGGCGTCTGCCTGACCAAGGCACTTCCAAACCTGCCTCCAGGCTGCCATGAGAGCCGGGTCTGTGACCTGCCACCCAGGGATGCTTCTGGTCGGCCGCAGGCCTCTGAAGGGGGCTGGGGAGAAGGGGGTTTGTTCGTGACCTTCTTTAGGAAGCTGAGCTGGGAGGAACTGTGGCTGGTGAGGGAATCGTGGGCGTGGCTTGCTCATTCCCCCTGGTCCTCTTTTCTCCCCGACCCCAGTGAGCGACCTGAAGAACGGCGCCCCTGTGCGGTCAGCTACCTGCTCTTTGACCCAACGACAAGGTCTGCAGCAGACCTGGTGTATTACCAGTACCACCGGGACAGGTGGGCCGTTGACGAGCCCTTCCAGCCCAGACCCGTAAGTGCCGTGCTCTGAGCCCCGCTTTCTTCCCTTGCACGGCTCAGTTTCAGGAGACTACTTGCACCCTGAGAGAACAAACGGTTTATACTTACTGAAGTAGCACACATTTGTTTATTTTACAAAAACAGGATCCAACTTTACATACTGTTTGTTGCAATTTTTTGCAACTTGGTTGGTCTTTCTGACGATCCATCATGAACATTTTTTCATGTCACACCCATACACCTGTTTATTCTTTTTTTTTTTTTATTTGAGATAGAGTCTTGCTCTGTGACCCAGTGAGGGCGTGCAGTGACGTCTTTCTAGATCACTGTAGTGTCAAACTCCTGGCTCAACGATCCTCCTGCCTCAGTCTCCAAGTAGCGGACTACAGGCATGGCCACACACCAGCTGATTTTCTATTTTTAGTAGAGATGGTGTCTCGCTCTTGCTCAGGCTGGCTCTCAAAACTCTGGGCTCAAACAATCTGCTGCTTGCCCTCCAGGGTGCTGAGATTACAGATGTGAGCACATACCCAGGCTATTATTACTCTTTCACAGCTTCATGGCAGGCTGTTTCGTGGTTTGACCATCATGATTTGATTCCTTTGATGGACAACTCACAGCTTTGCATGTCTTGTCAGGAACTCCTTAATTCCATATCACTCTCAGAAGATCTTTCTAATCGATATTTGCCCTTAACTTGTACTTCATTTTGGGATTTCTGTATACTATCCTAGTTGTTATAAATACATCTTCCATCAAGCTCTGTGGAAAGCCAAGAAAAAGAAAAAAGAAAGTAATAAATAAATACATCTTCCCACTTGAGGCTGGCCGTGCTTTCTTAAGAAATTGGGGGTATAATCATCACTACATTTTTTCACTCTTTAAGGTGTACAATTCAGTGGTTGTAAGTATATTCCCAGAGTTGTGCAACCGTTACCACTATCTAATTTCAAACATTTTCATCACTCTAGAAAGATCCCGTATCCTGTTTTCCCCTCCCTCCCCAGTTCTGCCATTAAAAGGTCAGTCCTATAAAGTGTTCTGTGTTTGTGTCTGAACAGGAAGCAGTTCAGTTCTTTAACGTGACTACGCTTCAGCAGGAGCTGTATGATTGCTAAGGAAAATATCATGGACGATGATGGAGGTAAGTTTTCATGCTCAGCACACGTCTGGCTGGAGAGAGAATCAGTTACTCACATCTTTTTGCTGAAATCTCTGGAAGGCCCGAGTTGTCCTGAATAAAACAGAAGGGGACATTGAGGAAGACAGCTGCTGGTGGGTGTTTCTAAGAAAGGCAGAGCACTTGGCCATGGAAAATAATGGCTTTTTCAGGAACCCCAGGCCAGCAGTGCCCCCTTCTGATGTGAAATGTGCGTTGGAACCCAAGCACTGGAATCCACAGTAGTCATCCAACGTTGTCTTTTTACTTTATAAACAGTGAATTTTTTTTTGGAGACAGAGTCTCGCTTTGTTGCCCAGGCGTAGAGTGGAGTGCGCGTGCGTCGCAGCCTAGCCCTCACAGCAACCTAAACTTCTGGGCCTCAAGCGATCTCACCTGCTCAGCCTCCGGGTAGCCTGGACTAGGCATGCGCTCACCATGCCAGCATTTTTTTGGCGCGATATATATTATTGCCAATTATTTCTTTCTATTATAAATAGAGACGGGCGTCTCGCTTCTCGCCTCGCTGGTTGACTCCTAGTGAGACTCTGTCTCAAAAAAAAAAAAAAAAAAAAAAAGACTCAGCCATGTTGTAACATATGTTACATGTAAAATTTCTTTTTTACTGCCAAGTAATATTCCACTATGTGGCTATACCACATTCTGTTTATCCATTCTTCAGTTGATGGATGTTTGGGTTCTTTCCACTTTTTTTACCATTTTGAATAAGGATGCTGTGAACATTTGTGTACAAATTTTTGTGTGGACGTAACTTCAAATTTCTTATACCTAGGAGTATATCCATAGGTATATGCCTAGAAACCAAACTTCTGTGTCATATAGTAACTATACATTTAACCTGTTGAAAAACTGCCAGACCGTTTTCCAAAGTGGTTGCACCATTTTACATTCTCATCAACAATATATGAGAGTTCCAACTCTGCTACATCTTCATCAACACTTAATATTGTCTGTCTTTTTTATTAACAGCCATGCTAGTGTATCTCATGTGGTTTAGACTTGCATTTCCCTAGTGACTAATGATGTTGAGCATCCTTTCATGTGTTTGTTGGCCATGTATACATTTTCTTTGAAGAAATATCTATTCAAACCTTTTGTCCACTTTAACATTATTACTTATCTTTTTATTGAGTCCTAAGAGTTCTTTAGATATTCTGGCTATAAGTCCCTTATCAGATATATGAGTTGGAGATATTTTTTCCACAATCTGTGGGTTGTCTTCTCCTCCCCTCCCCTCCCCTCCCCCAGCGCCATCCCCAGCTCCTAGCAGCGGCCGCTGCTAACAGGCTACGCACCTGCCCCTTCTGGCAACTGCGCCTTGGCCAAAAGGAGCACCTTCACCAGGAGGTCACAGCAACCCAACCTTTCCTGGCCAGCCAACAACCAATGAGCAAACTCGGACAAGGAGATGACAAAAAGGCAGGGACAGGCCAGGTCGGTGGGCTCACTCTGTAATCCTACGCACTCCTGGGCGGCTGAGCCGGCCGGATTGCTCCGATGGTCAGGAGTTCGAACCAGCTCTGAGCAAGAGCAAGAAACCGTCTCTACTATAAAGTACGGAAAGAATTAATATGGCCAACTAATACATAATAGAAAAAATCAAGCCCCCCCGGCGGCCCAAGGTGGCGGCATGCTGTAGTCCAGCTACCTCGGGAGTCTGAGGCAGGTAGGATGGCTTAAGCCCAGGGTTGACGGTCTGCTGTGAGCTAGGCTGATGCCACGCACTCACTCTTAGCCTGGACAACAAAGTGAGACTCTGTCTCAAAAAAAGAGAAGAGAAGAGAGGAGGAGGAGAGGGAGAGGACCGGGGAGGGAGCAGGGAA